GTAGAAAAACTTCTTACTGTAGAGAAACACCTTAATGTAGAGAAACATCTTAGTGTAGAGTATCTTGATTTTGGTAGATGTGTTTACGTCGCCGAGACTTCAATTTGCAATGCCATTCATTCCTATCCAAATCTCCAACATCTTAACCTTAGCTTTTGTAAAATTACTGATATGACTATCAAAGAAGTTGTTAGATCATATCTTAATTTAAAATATATTAATTTGAGAGGGTGTTATATTAGTAAAGAAGCTGTAGATCAGCTCATTTCACTTAATTCAAATATCCATATCGAGAATTACTGGGATCCGAATGATATTTAAGCTGAGATAGAGCGAGTGGTAGAGCTAATATCGTCTCCAGTTGCTAATATTAGAACTCAGTTTCACCAGGGATTCTGATGATCTAATTCCAACATATCTATAACAGTTGACTCTAGTTCTGATCATCCCATTATAGCTATAAATCAACAAACACCGACTCAAGGTATCATTTCCACCTTAATGTCGAGATCTGTTGATAGATTACTCAACGATCAAGCAGGATGGTGAAACTCTACTGATCTAACTAATCTGAAGCAGTGATCATCAGCTGTTACCATATTTGTTTCATGTTTTGTGACGATTATAACATCCAGAAGTAATGGTTTGGTAAATGTCCAGAACCTGCTGAATCCCAATGTTCAATCTTTATCAAAATTGGGTTCCAAACTTTGTCGCAAAATAAAAGCTCTTTAACACTGCATCTGATCTCTTAGCCAGTGATGATAAATGATAAACTTTTTAGCGAAATTTTGATTGCCAAGCTAATGCATTCTAATACAGGATAATTTGCAGGTCAGGATCGGCCAGGAGATGCTAATCGCTGTGATTTGCAAGAGGGTAATGAATGACAAAATGTGGTGTATAATTGCCCAGTCCAAAAGGACCTCTAATGAAAATCCGGCAATATCTTACTCCTGTGACCCTATAAACAAGCGAGAAATATTGTCTTTTTTTAGAAAACGTTATCATGGAAAATCAAGAGAACGTAAATCCGACTTTTACTGAGGAGGATAACGACCTGGGCAACCTAATTTATTATTATGATGATGATGATGATGATGATGGGGGAAAAAGTAAGATTCCGAAACCTTTCATCTCGTTTCTTATTAATCATAGGAACATAGCTTATAATATCCTGAAGTATCTTGAGGATGGTACGATTAAGGATAAAGAAATCCAGGAGCTTGGGCAATGCACCGAGTGTACGAACAATATTTTATCATCACCAATCAAATTACTCACCATCCTTACCTGCGGGCATATTTTTCACAGACCATGTATCGAGAAGCAACTTCTACATACCAAACCCAGCACATGCCCATTTTCCGATTGTGAAAAGAATGTCAATATTATTGTAGACCCAAATTCTATTAGGAGAGGTTCGCAATCATCACAATCTAGCGGAACTTCAGCTTTAACTAATTTGATGGGTAAAAAAGTTGTCCTGAATTCGCCAGTTATACCAGAAGAGGGAAGACCATCTGACCCAATGGACGTGGACCCTGATGGCAATGTAGCACTCATGAATGTACTATTATCAGGTGGGGAGCAAAGATCGTCCAAGACTACTGGGGTCGCTAAAAAAACTTCTAACCAAGCAACCAACCATGACAATTCCGAAAATATGGATGACTCGGAACTTTCTAGCAGACAAATCCAACACCCTTTATGTGAGAAATGCTCTGAAGAGATTTCTATAGAATTTACGAAAGATACTGTCTTTTTATCGTGTAAGCATGCCGTGCACTATGACTATATTGATGATCCTCGCAAAAAGTGTCCTACCTGCCCAGCCGAAGATTTGGAATTGTTCCAGTAGAACTGACTTCGAGTACCATCCAGAAAAAACAAACTAGTGATTCTACTACCAAAGAGTTATCTAGCAAGAAAAAAAGACATTAGTTAAGGAGGACGATTCCGCTATGTTGAAAAAGCTTGTTAAGGAGCTAAAGGATGATAGTATCAATCAAGAATTGTCATTCCCCATCCAGTCACCCAAAGATAGTTACACTCATCTCTATAAAGAAATCGTTGAAGCCGAAACTCAAAATGATTCTGCTGGTC